AATTTTTGGAATGCGGGTGAATAATTCGAATAATTTTTTTTATTAATATGTTTGCATTATTATTTAACGCGTTTGGTGCCGTGGAAAATAGAAAATCATTTTGTAATTGAAAAAATTAAAAGTTATATAATATAAGTTTTTAAAAGATTATTATATAAAAAAAAAGAAAAAATTGGAAAAATTGATTAGTACTTCAAGAGTACTTAGAAATAAATGGTATTGAAAGATACTTAAGTACTTGAACAAACTCAGTTTTATGAATAATAGAAAAGATTTAAAAATATTATTAATTCAGGAGAGAATACTATTCAAAAATATTTAAAATATACTCAGAAATGAAGTATCCAAGTGCACAGTTCAAAATTTAATAATATTATATCCCATAATATTTACAACTAATATTAAAAAATATTCAAAATTATTCAAATACTCAATAATATTCAATAATATAAAAAAATAAAAGTATCCAAAAACGATATTCTTAAATATTTAAAAATATTGAAAAATAATATTCAAGTATTTGTTAAATTCAGGCCTCGCTTAGAAATTATTCGAGAATTTGAAAATACTCGAGGAACTTACTCAATACAAAGAATACTCAATTACAAAAATATCATTTTATCAATATTCTTTATATTGTCACGTATTTTTCTCATGTTTCGTTGGAATACTCATAAAATACTCGAAAAATCCTTTTTACTGCTGAATAAAAATGGAGTACGTGTGACCTGGACGGCACGTGACGCGTTAAACTAAAACCAACAAGATGTTCGTGTTTTCTATTCGCTTCAAGGCAACCAGAATTTGCAGTTATTTTCGTTATCGTTCTCGTTTATGTAGAACTACTGATTACATAATCGGTACAAATGTTTTCAAGATGTGAATGATGCACGTCACGATAACGAAAATCATTGTATAACAGAGGAATGGCGGCTTATTTTAGAAAAATAAATCTTTCACGTATCGAAATCGAAAATAACAAATACAAGAAGAATAAAAAAAAGTGAAAAAAATATAGAATACCTTTCCTTGTAACAAATTCATTATCTTCCACGGCACAATTCCGCGATAAATAAAATCTTATTTTTGCATTCAACACGTTCGATTTAAATTTCTCCAATTATCAGAGATTTAAAGTCCAAATTTTTTGTACACGCATTCCAGATAAAATTCTTTAGCAATTATTGGAAAAATTTTTTTGATCGAGAACATATTCCATTGTAAATGCTTTAATCCTCTGTAATCGAAATTCAAAATGTCTAATTGATTATAATATCTCTGCTGTCTAATTGTAATCTTTATATTATCGAATTATATACTTTGATTTTATACTTCATTAACTCTCTATAATAATGTATGAGGATAAAAATTTCATTGAATAATATTAATACGTGATCAATATTTTTTTTCAGAATTTTTGAATTTTTGTTCGAACATCAAAATAAAAAAAAAATTGGACTCATGCAATAAAATATTATTATATAGTAGGAAAATAATGCAGCACAAAGACTTGATGTGATTTTGAAAGTGATTAAGAAAAAGACTTTGAAATTATTAATAAAAATTTCATATGTGTACAGACGTGTATACACAAATCATATAACATTGCAGAGGGTTAAGCATTTAACAAGCACGAGCGGAAATTCCACGAGATTTCATAGATTCCGTTCGATCTGCGTCAGATGAAAGAAACGCATAATAATAATCATCGGATGGAACCGATGGAAAAACACCGATTCTAAACCTTAATGTCGAATGTTTGGGTACAAAACGATATATAAACTTGATAGTCTTTTATACTTGCATAAATTCACGGCTGATCGACTTAGAGGTGTAGAGATTTTTAATATTAAGTTAAATTAAATGTATTATATAAATATATGCGATCGCGAGTGTTGTTCATTTTTTTGTGTAAAAAAGAGAGAGAGAGAGAGAGAGAGA